AGTTCAAACACAAGGCCTGGAGCAAGAGCGAGATCCCGGTCCGTCTTTCACTATAGAATAGATAGAAATTAATTGGCCAACCTGAATATCATATAAAAAATGAGGCCGGCATGGTGGATCACTTGGCCTGTAGTCCCAGCTACTCGGGAGGCTGAGGCAGAAGGCATTGACTGGGCCTCAGGATGTTGAGGTTGCTCTGTGGAGCTAGGCTGACGCCACGCACTCACTCTAGCCTGGACAACAAAGCGAGACTCTGTCTCAAAAAAAAAAAAAAAAACCAACAACAACAAAAAAAAACAAAAAAAAAAACCTCTTAGATGTAAAGACCTCTAACCTTCAGGGTTTTTTATTTGAGCATGGCTGTCTCAAAGTATTCTAGGCTATTGGCTTATTTTGGAATAGAAAAATTAAAAGTAGGTATATCGAGGACGTAAAATAAGCAGAACTGTCAAAGATACGACAAGGTTACAAGGCTGAAAGGCGAGCATGGCCTTTAGGCATCTGGGCAGCCCCTTTGCTGCCAGCCCAGGTCCTAACTAGCTCCCTGGCCCTCCGGAGTCTATGTGAGGAGCCCTCACCAGAGGTCGCTCACCTCCTCCTCTGCCCATTCTGAGGGGTCCACGGTATGGGAGGGCAGGCAGAACTGCTGACACACCCCTCGCTTGTAGTGCACAGTCTCCGACTGAAGGCTGTTGTCTTTTGGAATGTAGCTATTGATACAAGAGGGAGGCAAAACAAAAGTTAGTATCTAGCCCAGGCGGATCTGACAATTTCCTCTGTCTCATGCCTGTTCTCAGTTATCAACAAACAGGCTCTACTATGGAGAAGAAAAGCCCCCTTTGTAATCTGTTTCCTTCACACTTGCTTGGTAATGTTATTAAATTTACCTATACAACGCACACATCCACAGAAAGGTAACTTGATTAATTTTTAACAGCATCTTAATAAGGACCTGAAGGGCTATCCTGCCATCTGCCACTATTCTAAGGAGGGGACAATTTGAAGAGAAAAGGTGACAGAGTTTAGTAGAAGAAAATCTAAATTCAGGAACCAGCTCTCACTTGGTTGCAGAAAATGAACGTTTCCCTCCCTAGGTGAGCATATAAGACATGGACCCTCCCTGTCTGGGAAGGAAGTGTTCTTACCTGGCAATACCATTCTGGAACTCTTCGGTGGCCTGATAATAGAGGGTGATGGCTACCCGAGCATCCGTGTCAAAGGTGAATTCAACATTGTAGTGGACTCTGGCTTTGCCGGCCTCTTCCCCAGGGCTCTTCACTTCCTCGGCGCATCTACAAAACCACAAAAGACTCAGCATTTGGGGAGTAGCATATCAATATTTTAAAATTTATCTTTTTTGGCCGGGCGCAGTGGCTCATGCCTGTAATCCTAGCATTCTAGGAGGCCAAGGTGGGTGGATTGCTCGAGGTCAGGAGTTCAAAACCAGCCTGAGCAAGAGCGAGACCCCGTCTCTACTAAAAATAGAAAGAAATTAATTGGCCAACTAATATATATATATACAAAAAAAAAAATTAGCCGGGCATGGTGGCGCATGCCTGTAGTCCCAGCTACTTGGGAGGCTGAGGCAGGAGGATTGCTTGAGTCCAGGAGATTGAGGTTGCTGTGAGCTAGCTGACGCCACGGCACTCACTCTAGCCTGGGCAACAAAGTAAGACTCTGTCTCAAAAAAAAAATAAATAGAAAAAGAAAAAAAAAGAAAAGTGAATAGAACAATAAAAAAAAACTTTAAAAGAAAAAAAAAATTTATCTTTTTTTTTTTGAGACAGAGTCTCATTTTGTTGCCCAGGCTAGAGTAGATGCTGTGGTGTCACCTAGCTCACAGCAACCTCAAACTCCGGGCTAAAGAAATCCTACTGCCTCAGCCTCCCGAGTAGCTGTGGGACTACAAGCATGCGCCACCATGCCCGGCTAATTTTTTCTATGTATTTTTAGTTGCCCAGCTAATTTCTTTCTATTTTTAGCAGAGACGGGGTCTTGCTCTTGCTCAGGCTGTTTTCAAACTCCTGACCTTGAGCGATCTGCCTGCTCGGCCTCCCAGAGTGGTAGGATTACAGGTGTGAGCCACTGCGCTGGCACAATTTATTTATTTTTTAGCTGAACAATATTTGTGGCTTCTCTACATGATCATAAACATAGCTCTACATCTTCATTTTAATGATCATAGAGTACTTTGTTCCAATATATTGGGTTATTAGGTGATTTCTGATATTTCACCAGCACTACAATTAACATCTTGTGCATTTTCACCGATTTTTTTAGGTTTTTTTTTTTGAGACCAGAGTCTCACTTTGTTGCGCAGGCTAGAGTGAGTGCCATGGCATAGCCTCAGCTCACAGCAACCTCAAACCTCCTGGGCTCAATTGATGCCTCCTGCCCTCAGCCCCCCGAGTGCTGGACTACAGGCGAAGCCACCAATGCCCGGCCTAATTTTTCATATGTTTTAGTTGACAATTTTATTTCTTTCTATTTTTAGTAGAGACAAGGTCATAACTCCCTTGCCCAGCGCTGGGTTGCGAACGTCCTACCTGAGCAATCACCCCACTGGCTCTCAGAGTGTTAGGATTACAGGATGAGGCCACCACGCCGCCATAATGATTATTTTTCTTTTCTGCCCCGAAATTTTCTTTAGAAGTTATGTCATCTTGTTTTCCTAGTTGCTTACATCAATACTCCAACCAAACCCTCTGCTGGCTGTCTAAATATTTTCAGGATGTCAATGCACATGTGTCTGGCTCACTATGGAGCCGCTGACTGTTCCATTGGACCTGGTCTGTACTGGCACAGCAGATGTCATCCTGAACCTTCTCCATCATCCTGTTTTGGGTCTTTTGGCCCCTGTCGGGAACTCACATTCTGCATCTCCTGTCTTGCTCCTTTCTGGGTACTCTTCTCCATGTCCAGTGGAGCTACAATTTCCACTAGCTCTGGAAAAGGGTGTGTTGGGGAATACAGCTTTTGAGAGCTTTTGTTCTACACCTCCACACCTCATTGAGTTTTGCCAGCAAAGATTCTAGTTACAAATATTTCTTCCCTAAATACGACTCTAACCTCCTTTACCACCTTATCTTTCTAGCTTCCCAGTGTTGCTCCCTAACTCCTTCTTCCCTCTGGAACACTTATAGAACTGGTTCTTATCATGCTCTGTGCTTGGGGGCACTTGGTGGTTTTTCCACATTAGAAACTTGTACCTCTGGCTTCTGAGAAATTTTCTAAATTATGTATGTCACTGATGATTATCCTTACCTTTTATATTCTGTGTTCTCCTCTAGAACCGTTAGTCTGAATGTAAGACTTTTAACTGGTGCTCTGATTATTTGTTCTTTTCTATTTTTCATCTCTCTGACTTTCTTTTTTTTTTGAGAAAGAGTCTCCTCCCTTTGTCCTGGGCCTAGAGCCCATGGCATTAACTCGATCACAGCAACTCCAAACTCCCGGGCTCAGGAGTTCCTCTTGCCGCAGCCTTCCGAGTACCTGGGACTACAGGCATGCGCCCCACCTGCCCGGGTTTTTCATATATTTTAGTTGGCCAATTATATTCTTTCTATTCTTAGTAGAAGACAGGGCTCGCTCTTGCTCAGGCTGGTTTTGACCCTGACCTTGAGTGATCTGTCCGCCTTGGCCTACCAGAGAGCTAGGAATTACAGGTGTGAGCCACTGCCCGGCCTTCCTCTCTGCCTTTTTGCCTCACTTCTCAAACTATTTCAACTTTTCTTCCTACCCATCCTATTGAATTTTATTTCTGCTACTAGTTTTAATTTCTAAGAGCCATTTTTTTTGTTGTTGTTTCCTAAATACTTTGCTGTCATTGTGTCCTGAAATAAAGGTAATTTCTTCCTCTAATGTCTTCGAGGCTATTAATAGAGTTTTTTTCTTCTTGTATAGTTTTTATGTCCAATTAGTTTTTCCCCCTGTTGGTTTTTTACCACTTGTTTTATATTATAGCATTGCTTACACATTAAGAATCTTTGCTTGTCTGCTCCTATTTAAGAAACTTAAGGCTGTTGATTAGAACTCTGAGTGCAAAGCAGGACTTTGCGACCCTGGACTCCACTGTGGCTGATCTGGTCTGCTGAGCGACTTCCTAATTCCAGGCTCTTAGATTTTCCTATCCAGATGGTCCAAGTCCCAGAGAACAGTCTTCCTCTCTCTGGACAAAGGCCTAGCTGCCAGCATTCCAGGGGCAGGAGGGGAGGCAGGCTGGAGGTCTAGCATGCAGTATGCCAGAATTGACTTACTCCCTGTTTTCAGTACTGAGTCTGGCTCTCAGCGTGCCCCAAGTCCAGGGATTCTCCCTTGTTAACCTCCCTAGTGAGTCATAGGCCTGGCTGTGCCGGGTGTGGGAAGGGCAGTTCTGCTGTGCTGTTGCAAGCCAGGGATCCAACTGCCTCTTGGGCAGACTTTCAAGCAGTCTTCTTCATGTTGGTCTCCCACCTTTACTTCTAGAGCCAATTCCTGGGGCTTTGGGGACAGCATTGTGTAACTGAGTGATTTTCAGCTTTCCTTTCTGCTAGTGCAGGATGCTGAGTTCCTGGACTAGCTAACACTCACCACATGTGTCTAGCTTCTAGAATTTTGCTGCTGTTGCTCCTTTCCCATTCTCCCAATTCTTGTGAATTCATACCTTTTTTTTTTTTGAGACAGAGTCTCACTTTGTTGCTCAGGCTAGAGTGAGTGCCATGGCATTAGCTTAGCTTACAGCAACCTCAATCTCCTGGGCTCAAGCGATCCTACTGCCTCAGCCTCCCGAGTAGCAGGGACTACAGGCATGCGCCACCATGCCTGGCTAATTTTTTTTATATATTATATATTTTTAGTTGGTCAATGAATTTCTTTCTATTTTTAGTAGAGACGGGGTCTTGCTCAGGCTGGATTCGAACTCCTGACCTGAGCAATCCACCTGCCTCAGCCTCCTAGAGTGCTAGGATTACAGGTGTGAGCCACCATGCCGGCCAATTCATGCCTTTTAAAAATATTTTATTATTACTTAGTGGGTTTTGAAAGAAGCAAAAAATAGATGTTCAATCCTCCATCTTTACTTGCAAATTTGAGAATCAGAATTTACTGTATTCTCATAATCTCAGAAAACAAACAAAAATGCCCTTCACCTAAACATCTATGGAATATCAGGTGTTTTCCCTTCTGTTATCTTGTTTACTTTTGACAACTACCATGAATGGTAACGGTGAGTATCACTATTTTACAGATGAAAAATCTGAAGCTCAGAGACTCTTTTTAGTGAGTATCCACAGACTGAGAAGCAAATTGGTTTTCTGCTTCCAAGTCTGGTTCTTCTGGCACATCCCAGCCACCTCCACCTACTCTAGCTCTGGCCAGGCTGCCACGGCAGGGCCCGGGACCTCCACAAGCACTTAGGCCCTCATACTGTCTCATCAAATGTGAGAAAGGCCACATGTGACAAGAGAATCCAGTGCACAGAGTGGTTGACAGCTGGCAGCTCCTGGGCCCTCTTAGGCTCAGTCTGCTCTGCTGCTGGGGAGTTCCCCTAAGGAGGAGTGACTGCTCTGCCGCAGACAAGTGTCTCCTTGGCTCCCTCCTCCCCAGAGTTGACTGCAGGGGTGAAGAGAAGTCTAGCTGGGGAACCAGTAGACTTCAGAGACAAAAATAATTAAGAATTAAGAGAGAGAGAGAGAGAGAGAGCAAGAGAGACAGAAATAGATTAGTGGTTACTTAGGGCTAGGTGGGAAATGAGGAATGACTACTTAATGGTATGGGGTTTCTCTTGGGGTGATGAAGATGTCCTAAAAATTAGATAGTGGTAATGACTCATGACTCTGTGAATACACTAAAACCCACTGAATTGTACACTTTAAATGGATAAGTTGTATGGTACATGAATTACATCTCAATAAAGCTGTTATGTTAAAAAATTATCAGAGGCTGGGCACAGTGGCTCATGCCTGTAATCCTAGTAATCTGGGAAGCTGAGGTAGGAGGATTGCTTGAGTTCAGGAGTTGGAGACCAGCCTGAGTAAGAGTGAGACCCTATCTCTACCAAAAAATATAAAAATTAGCTGGGTGTGATAGTGCACGCCTGTGGTCCAAGCTACTCAGGAGGCAGAGGCAGGAGGATCACTTGAGCCCAGGAGTTTGAGGTTGCTGTGAGCTAGGCTGATGCCACAGCATTCTATCCAGGGCAACGGAGTGAGACTCTATCTCAAAAAAAAAAAAAAAAAAAAAAAAATTATCAGAAAGAAACTTCCTAATGCTAATAAGGCTACACAAACATGAGATGGTCTCTGAGCCATCTTCCTTGCCCATTCAGAAAAATTTAGGAGCTCTGATTTACACTAGCCAAGTTTGTCTCCCCAGGGAACCAAAGAGCCTTAGTAGACATATTGTCTTGGGGGGAACAGCATCAGATTAAAAATTACGCTGGCTACAGGATGACACAAAGAAGGCAAAAATGTGGATGGTAATATTGATGCTGAGGATCAAAAACAACCAACCCAGAGCACGTGAGTTCTATAGAGGAAAGGCATAAGATTAGGAATAAAAAGCAAACATAAACAATAAACTAAGGATTTCATTATTTCAAGTTCAAATTTCCCATTTTTACTTTAGTTTGTTGGGGTATCTGCAAAATTCCCTTTTTCTCAATAATTCTTCTTCCTTTAAAAAAAAATCCATAAAATAGGGATGATAATGACCGCTTCCGCCCAAGTGAAAGTTCTTCACAGAGCTCTGAGCATGGGTGTGGAGGACCGATCTCAGCAGAGAGCAGTTCCGGCAGCTCACGTTGGAGGCCTGGAGCAGTGGGCTGGGCTCTGAGGCTGGCAGAAGCCTCTGTGCCAGTCCCTCGGAGCGTTTGCTGCCACCAGGGAGAAAGGACCTGGAGCCTACCCCCAGCCTCCTCCACCTCCTAGGGAACTTACTTGACCAGCCTCAGTGTGTCCTTTCGGATGTTGATCAGGCTTCTGAGAGTCTTCACAGGTTCTTGGGGAGGTGGGGCAGCATAAGGAAACTGTGTCAGAAACAAAGGAAAAAGCAGAGTGTGTATAAAGATCCATAACTGTGGCTTCATGATAGACAAAGAACAGCACTGGGAGGGGAAGTGGGAAGGCACTACTCTCCTAAGTGAGGAAACTGAGATTCCGACATACTCAGTCAACCTGCTCAAGGTCACAGCTAGTGGGAAAACTGGGATTTAATTTGGAGTCAAAAGAGCTAGAGTTATCTGCTTTTTCCATTATATGAAGATTATTTGGGTCGGTGTTCAAACTTGGAGAACTAATCAAAAACTACCTAAAAACACCAAGGACACACTGTGGCCCAGTTAATCACACAAGGCTTTTCCATCTGACCTTAGACGACAGGGAGCCAGACCTGCAAGCCCTTTCCTTCAGAGAAGCCATATGGTATCCTAGGAATTTAGGGACTGCAAAGAAAAGAGAACCCCATCATGTGTACAGAGCTGACGCCTGCAAACAGTAAAGAACAAATTTCCCCTGCAGCTGATCATATAAAGCAGAGTTCTTTAACATGTGAGCCAAGAGTTATTTTGGGGTCATCAGAGGTTTATAGCTTTCATCATTCTGAACCATACACTTTTTATCTCTCTTTCCCCATTGAGACCTCTGGATTTAGAGCTCTGAGTTGATGATAATGAACAGACAAAGAAGGGGAAATAGTAAAACATCTCATTGGGAATTGCTTTCAGAAGATCAAGAATTATTTAAAATGTTCCCAGTATCTTATTTATAATGTTATTTGGGCGATAAAATTTTTTTACATGCAATTCATAGAAAACCTACTGATCTTTGTAGCTCCATAAAACTGGTTCTCTTAGCTCAAAATGAGTCTACTTCTGTAGTGCTGGTATCAGAAAACAGGACACCCATATTATAATCTAATTGTGTCTTCACAGATTGTTATTGAATGTAGTTATTTTACTTGGGAAACAATTTAACTATGGTACATCTGATTTATGTTCAGTATGACTGCTGATAATTCACATGTATGAATGTGATCCTTAAGAAAACACATTCAATCTACATTATTCACATTTGAATTACCTACTTTGTGGGCATTAAATAGCAACAGTTTACCTGTTTACTGATACATTAAACATATATTCTTTTAAAAATTATAGTTGCAGGCTGGGCACAGTGGCTCACGCCTGTAATCCTAGCACTCTGGAGGCTGAGGTGGGAGGATCGCTCAAGGTCAGGGGTTCGAGACCAGCCTGAGCAATACTGAGACCCTGTCTTTACTAAGGGTCTTACTCAGGAGTTTGAGGTTGCTATAAGCTAGGTTGATGCCATGGCACTCTCGCCCAGGCAACAAAGTGAGACTTTGTCTAAAAAAAAAAAAAAAAAAATATATATATATATATATATATTTTTAGTTGGTCAATGAATTTCTTTCTATTTTTAGTAGAGACGGGGTCTTGCTCAGGCTGGTTTCGAACTCCCAACCTTGAGCAATCCGCTCACCTCGGCCTCCCAGAGTTCTAGGATTACAGGCGTGAGTCACCATGCCCAGCCAATTCATGCCTTTTAAAAATACTTTTATTGGGGGGAAATGGGCATTTATTGAAACCTTAAAATCTGTACCCCCATAATATGCCAAAATAAAAAAAAATACTTTTATTATTACTTAGTGGGGTTTTGAAAGGAAGCAAAAAAGTAGATGTTCAATCCTCCATCTTTACTTGCAAATTTGAGAATCAGAATTTACTGTATTCTCATAATCTCAGAAAAACAAAACAAAAATGCCCTTCACCTAAACATCTATGGAATATCAGGTGTTTTCCCCTTCTGTTATCTTGTTTACTTTTGACAACTACCATGAATGGTAACGGTGAGTATCACTATTTTACAGATGAAAAATCTGAAGCTCAGAGACTCTTTTTAGTGAGTATCCACAGACCTGAGAAGCAAATTGGTTTTCTGCTTCCAAGTCTGGTTCTTCTGGCACATCCCAGCCACCTCACCCTACTCTAGACCTCTGGCCAGGCTGCCACGGCAGGGCCCGGGACCTCACAACAGCTTAGGCCCTCATACTGTCTCCATCAAATGTGTGAACAGGCCACATGTGACAAGAGAATCCAAGTGCACAGAGTGGTTGACAGCTGGCCAGCTCCTGGGCCCTCTTAGGCTCAGTCTGCTCTGCTGCTGGGGAGTTCCCCTGAGGGAGGAGTGGCTGCTCTGCAGCAGACAAGTGTCTCCTTGGCTCCCTCCTCCCCAGAGTTGACTGCAGGGGTGAAGAGAAGTCTAGCTGGGGAACCAGTAGCAACTTCAGAGACAAATAAAATATTAAGAATTAAGAGAGAGAGAGAGAGAGAGCAAGAGAGACAGAAATAGATTAGTGGTTACTTAGGGCTAGGTGGGAAATGAGGAATGACTACTTAATGGGTATGGGGTTTCTCTTTGGGGTGATGAAGATGTCCTAAAATTAGACAGTGGTAATGACTCATGACTCTGTGAATACACTAAAACCCACTGAATTGTACACTTTAAATGGATAAGTTGTATGGTACATGAATTACATCTCAATAAAGCTGTTATGTTAAAAAATTATCAGAGGCTGGGCACAGTGGCTCATGCCTGTAATCCTAGTAATCTGGGAAGCTGAGGTAGGAGGATTGCTTGAGTTCAGGAGTTGGAGACCAGCCTGAGTAAGAGTGAGACCCTATCTCTACCAAAAAATATAAAAATTAGCTGGGTGTGATAGTGCACGCCTGT